CCATGAGAAATGAAAACTGGTATCTCCTTCTGCTACTACTGGCTCATGTTGGAAATGAGGCTGCTGGTATTGACCAGGCCTCACAATATTCCAGATGAAACCGATAGTCCCCACACAGATTGCTCATAAGGAAAGGCATGTCCCTGCCTTTTCCAAAGAGATCTCAGATAAAAACATTGTGGATAATTGTTCAAAGGCTCTTCCTAAGGGCCTTGCAGATCCAAGACTTAACATAATGAAAGGAGTCTGAGTCTGGCCCTGAGACAAAGAGCCTAATTTAGAGTTAAGGGCAGATAGCCACCCCAGCCCATTTGTTTCTACTTGGAGCATTTCCTGCCCTTGAGTATGCTGGTTACTCCCTGTGAAGGAACCTATTGAGGAACTGCTTTTGTCTTTATGGGAGCAAAGGTGTTTCCTGGAAGACCTGTTCTTCTTGATACTTCCGCCTTAAAAGAAGTAACTTCACCCCTTTTATGCTAAAAAGGTTGTCTGGTATGCTAAAGATACTTTCTTCCCCATAGGATAAGCATCTCAATCACTATTGATAAAGGTTGTGCAGGAGTCTTCTAGATTTCCGGGAAATTCTCACTTATCAACGAAGTTTGTTATCAGAAATCATTGTCTAAGGCAAATGCCACTTCTGTGACGTCCCCCAAACACTTATAAAATAAAGTTGAGCCCCAGTCAGAGCGGAGATGCCTGCCTGGTGACCAGAAAGACTCTCGGGCCTCTCTCACCCCTCCCTCGCCGACACCGTCCATCCTTCAGCGACCCCTGGGCCTGCCGGCGCTGGCCTCCGACACCCTTCCCCACTTGTGCTGTCTCTCTCAAACATAAGTAAATCTTAAAAAAAAAAAATACATGTCATGGGATAACTGAATGGATTGTCTATGTGAAGAAGAGATAGGTTAGAACGAAAATGCACTTCTCTGCAGGATGGTCTCTTCTAAATTGGATTTCTACGAACTTCTATTTGTTTATCCCATGGTGGTCCCACAGGAAAGCAAATAGAGAAGAAATCCTGAAAAGTGACTGAATAGGAATTATGTGTACAGAGGAGTCTCCGATAAAATCTCAAAGTTTGTAGAGCAGAATTCAACCTCAGAAAATAACTTCCCAGAGACTTTCCAATCCAATTTATGCCACCTAAGACACAGATTGTTGACCCAATTCTAATGTCCATTCTCTGACTCTTGTAACTCCCGATTTTCACCTGGGCACATGGTCACCAGGTAAAGCCTACATTTCCCAGACTCCTGTTCAGCTAGGTTGGCCATATGACCAAGTTCTAGCCAATGAGTTACAAATGTGATCTCATCGTATGATCTTATCTGAGCAGCTTTCCTAAGAGCAAGAGCTCACCTTTGCTCCTCCTTTCCCCTGCCCTGCCTCTCATTGCCTCTTCCTTTATCCTGCTGCTTAACATGTTGATGTGATGGCTCTAAGTCCATCTTGGACCGATAGGATAATGGCCAGAGATAGCAGAGGGGAGAGTTGGAGATAGCCTGGGCCTCTGAGGACTTTCTGGAACAGAACCACCACACAAGGCCTGGAAGGACCAAACTAATCCCAACTGATGCGTCATCCTCTTTTTTTTTTTTAATTTTATTTTTAAGTAATCTCTAGACCCACTGTGGGACTTGAATTTACAACCTCAAGATCAAGAGCTGCACATGCTACAGACTGAGCCAGCTGGGCACCACCTCTTCCTTTTTTTTTTTTTTTTTTTTTAATTTGACTCAATTTCTCATAGGAAAGAAGGACCTATGAATCATGTAGGCTCATTCCCAGGTTGGAACACTAGTTTTATCAAATATGTCAACACCCTAGTGTGATAGAGATGATTTTTTAACATTCTCCTTTCTTTTTATTTCATTATGATCTTTGATGCCTGGATAATTGGAGCATCAGAGAAAAGTGACAAAAATATAGGCAATGTAATAACTTGTCAGTTAAAAAACAATAAAAGAAAAATCAGAAGCATGAGTTTAATCTTAGCTTTATCTGTACATTTTTATTTTTTATTTTTCATTTATTTATTTATTTTTTAGCTGCACATTTTTAAGTGGAACCGTTTTGGAAGCTGGGGAAAATGAGAGGCCTAGCAAACCCTGGAAATATCTGCAATCCCCTGTACCCTATGAATGAACAACTGAATAAATCCCAAAAGGTTTAATGACCTTTGTTTTCCAATATAAGTTATAACTTCAGGGCTGAAATAAGACCCAACAATTTTTTCATGAAGCAACTAACATTAGGAAGGAAAGAAGATCCAAAACTGGCTATTTTTAAGATCAGGTTTTGCAGAAATCACCTGATAACAGTGGCAGACATGCACAGCTGCACAATCTGAAAGCTGACCATGCTATGTCAGGTCTTTCTAACCAGTTATATTTCAGAAGGTCAAGATAGGACTTTAAATAGTAACACGTGCGAGACAGTGACACGCTGCTTCATTTAATGGAAACATTATTTCAGGATGTAAAAAGGTCAATTTAGAAAAAAATAACCCCACAAACTTAACTAGTTGGACACTGGATGTTATCTAACAAGATGATGTGAAATAAATGTCTACTGAGGCGCATAGGTGGCTCAGTCGGTTAAGCATCCTGATCTCAGGGCTGGTGGATCAGAGCCCTGCATTGAGCTCTGTGCTGACAGCCTGGAGCCTGGAGCCTGCTTCCGATTCTATATCTTCCTTTCTCTCTCTGCTCCTTCCCCACTCACATTCTGCCTCTCCGCCTCATAAAAATAAATAAACATTAAACACTTTTTTAATTAAAAGAATAATAAGATAAAATGTCTGCTATATTTTGGTGACACATAATTTTGCAATCCCTTGCCAAATCTTGCTGATTTTACCTCACACGTTGTTAAAAAATCTGATCCCCCTAGACCCTTGGTGATCTTCCCCAGACAGTGTTCACAACGTTGGCTGCACTAAGGAATCACTAAGGCCCTTTTTTTTGTTTGTTGTTTTTGTTTTTGTTTTATTTCTAGGAGAGAGAGAGCGTGAACAGGGGAGGGTGAGAGAGAGAGGGAGTCACAGACTGAAACAGGCTCCAGGCTCTGAGCTGGCAGTCAGCACAGAGCCCGACGCGGGGCCCGAACCCACGAACCGCGAGATCATGACCTAAGCGAAAGTCGGACGCTTAACCGACTAAGCCACCCAGGCGCCCCTACTAAGGACCTTTTAAAAAGACCCAGGCCTGGGGCACCTGGGTGACCCAGTCGGTTGAGCATCCAACTCTTGATTTCCACTCAGGTCATGATCCCAGGATCATGGAATTGAGCCCCATGTCAGGCTCCATGCTGAGGGTGGAGCCCGCTTAAGATTCTCTCTTTCTCCCTCTGCCTCTCTCCCCTGTTCATGCTCTTTCTGTGTGTGTGTGTGTGTGTGTGTGTGTGTGTGTGTGTGTCTTTCTCTCTCTCTCTTTCTCTCTGTTTCTCCCTCAAATTAAAAAAAAAAAAAAAGGCCCAGGCTCAATCCCAAACCAATTAAGTAAGAACTTCTTGAGGGTTGGGCTGAAGCACTATCATTCTCCACATCACCCCAGGTGATTCTACTGTGTAGCCTGGGTTGACATCCACTGCCACAAAGGAGCTCCATTTCACCTATGTGAGTAGAGCCAACTCACATGTTGCTTAAATTAAAATATACTGAAAATTAACCCTGTCATCTATCCCTTCCCCCAAACATATCACATTTAGACTCTCTCTTCACATTCTCATATCTGCTTCCTTTTAGATAAAGGTATCAAGAAAAATAATTTCCCAAAATAGGCACCTTTCACAGTTATGCGATTTCTGGTTCGGACACTGCCTTCTCTAAATAAAACCATATTCGTCTTTGGCAAGAGAGGAGAGGTTAAAACAAAGTAAAGGAGCAGTTGACTGTTGTTGACCCAGACTGGAGACTGAAAACTAATCAATGCTCTCTCCTTCTCTCTCACCCACAAGATTCATCTCCAAACATCCTCTACCTCAGATAACAGTCCAAACCTTTGGTATTTCCAGAACCAATTCTGTAGGGGAACCCAAGTGATAAATAGGAACCGCATCTGCTATCTTACTCCACTAGACCAAAATCTCATTAAAACATGAAAAAAAATAACCAATGTTGATAACATCTTTTGATCATTCTTATTCATTGGGAGTCTTACTATTTGAAAGTAGTCTTCTTCCTCTAAGCATTGAGGTGGTGGTTGTGGGGGGAAAGGTGGTAGAGGACATCAGATATCCAAGTAGCTTCATTACTGATTGTTGAGTAACTCTGGATGAACATCTAATCCTGACTCCCCCAGGAATTATGAAGACAATTGATTCAAATCACAAACCTATCCCTGTCATGTCTTTGCTACATGATTAAATCAAAAGCTGGGAAGGGGCTTCTGTCAAACAGACAATGGTACATAACAAGTTGAAAAGTTACACATGACTCTCTGTTATATAAATTATGTATAAAATTGATTAATTTTAATACTTTTCCTTTTTTTCAACCTAATCATGAATCAGATTTTCAGTAATTCTCAGAGCAGAGCAAGAGTTTCCATATTCAAAACGACACATTTGGAATGTTGGAAATATTTAGCCTATTAAGTGATAAATGAGCACCTGTTCGCTTCTTAAATTGCACAATAAAGTGAATATTGCGTTCAGATGTTCAAATAAAAGGCATAAAATACTGAACATAACTGCAGCCAACTTTTGTTATCTATACTTGCGGGGGGCGGGGGGTGTCCTGAATTTACGGAAAGTTAGAACATGTTGCTGGGACGGAAGACAAGGGTCAATTCTTTTGAGAACAGCCCGCCCCCTCTGGGCCGCCTGCGCGCGGGGCCGCGCCGGCCGCAGCGCGTGTTCCTCAGAGAAAGCAACTGGCTCCAGAACGCGCCTCAGTGCGGGCGCGCGCACGAGCACGCCCCTTGAGGACGACGCAACACACGCCCCTTGACGATGACGCAACACACGCCCCTTGAGGACGACGCAACACACGCCCCTTGACGACGAGGGGCGGTAGGGGCTGAGGCAGCGGCCGCTCTGTGAGGAGCCCGCTGTTGAGGGGAACATTCTTGACGGGCTTTGGCGGCCCAGGGTGTCCCGTCAGTGCCGGTCAGTGCCGGTCAGTGCCGGTCAGTGCCGGTCAGTGCCGGCGCGGAGAAGAGGCGGTGGCGGGAGTTCGCGGGGGCGACTGAGCGTGTTTGAGTCGGGACCGGGATCAGAGGCGCGCCCTCCACCCTCAGAAATGAGACGCAGGGCGTCCCCCTCATCTCTCAGAACCTCCCCGTCCCCGCCGCGCAGGAAGGTGCTTGCCCTGCCTGGCACAACCGCAGCCAGTAATGACGTGAAGAGCCTTTTTGAGTGTCAGGAATGCTGTGGCTTTGTGTTACCGCCCATTCCTCAGTGTGAGAATGGCCATCTTGTTTGTCGCAGCTGTCGCCCAAAGCTCACGCGTTGTCCAATCTGCAAAGGCCAGTTGGGATCCATTCGCAACTTGGCTCTGGAGAAAGTGGCCGATACCATGCTTTTCCCTTGTAAATACACCTCTTGTGGGTGTGAGAAAACCCTGCGACACACTGAAAAAGCAGACCATGAAGAGATATGTAAGTTTAGGCCTTATCCGTGCCCTTGCCCTGGTACGTGCTGTAAATGGAGAGGCGCTTTGCACGCTATATCGCCCCATCTGATGCAGCACCATGAGTCCGTTACAACCATAGAGGGAGCGGATGTCGTCTTCCTCGCAACGAACATTAATATTCCCGGTCCTATTGACTGGGTGATGCTGCAGCACTGTTTCGGCTTTCACTTCATGCTAGTTTTGGAAAAACAGGAAATCCATGAGGGTCACCAGCAGTTCTTTGCGATCGCACAGCTGCTAGGAACACGCAAGCAAGCTGAAAATTTTGCTTATCGGTTTCAACTAACTAGTGAGACCAGGCGGTTGACTTGGGAAGGGACTCCGAGATCGATTGATGAGAGAATTGCAGCAGCCATTGTGAAGAGCGACTGCTTCGTCTTTGAGACCAACACGGCAGAATTTTTTGCAGAAGATAACAATTTGAGCATCAGCGTAACTATTTTCATGTATTAAAAGGACAATCAAACATTTTCTGGACAGTGTTGAAAACCGCTGTGTTGAGTTTCACATAGAATAAGGCCCTCATCTGCCTGCCAGCCTTAAACTTTCGGTGGGTGGAAGGTAGACACCTGAAGATGAATAAAAGCAAAGGCTGTTAAATATACGAAACAGTTGCTTGTAGTAACTCTAATATATTTAAAAATAAGTTAATAGTAAACTGTTGAAATAAATCTGTTTTTGCACCCAAGACGGGCATCTTTTTTTTTTTAATGTGTTGTTTTTTTTTTAATTTATTTCTAGGACAGAGAGAGACAGCGTGAGCAGGGGAGGGTCAGAGAGAGAGGGAGTGACAGACTCTGAAATAGGCTCCAGGCTCCGAGCTGGCAGTCAGCACAGAGCCCGACGCGGGGCTCGAACCCACGAACCGCGAGATCATGACCCAAGCGAAAGTCGGACGCTTAACCGACGAAGCCACCCAGGCGCCCCAAGACGGGCATCTTTTGTGTTTTATTGAATCAATTTTTTAACACTTCTTTTTTGAGGGACAGAGAGACAGAGCATGAGTGGGGGAGGGGCAGAAAGCCAGCGAGGGAGACACAGAATCCCAAGCAAATTCCAGACATAGAATCTGTAACTGGCAGCACAGAGCCAATGCTGGGCTGGAACCCATCAACTGTGAGATCATGACAGGAACTGAAGTCAGCCGCTTAACCAACTTAGCCACCCAGGCACCCCAAGATGGGCATCTTTTATTATTAAGTAAAGTAAGTATTAAGAAAGGAAGCTTTGTAAAATAATTCTGAATTAGGTTTTTTTTTGATGTTTATTTTCCGAGAGAGAGAGAGAGAAAGAGAGAGAGACAATGTGAGCAGGGGAGCGTCAGAGAAAGAGGGAGACACAGAATCCGAAGACAGGCTCTAGGCCTTGAGCCGTCAGCACAGAGCCTGAGGCGGGGCTCAAACCCAGGAACCGCGAGATCATGACCTGAGCCAGTCAGACGCTCAACCGACTGAGCCACCCAGGCACCCCTGAATCTGTGTTGTAGATTGAGTGTACTATTGAAAAATACCACGTTTTTGTTTTGTGTGTGTGCCTGAAACTTTGCATGCATGCGTGCATGCGCATGTGTGTATGTGTGAGTGGTTTTGTGGTTTTTTCCTTTAACTGACAAGCCATGTAGAATGGTCTTGGACCACTGCTTTTCCCTTTGAGTCAATACATAGTGCTGGTGTGTGTGTATATTTGTGTGTTTGCTAAATTTTGTTCTAGTTTTTCATTAAATAAATTTGACTTTCTTTTCTGTAAAAAAAAAACTAAAAAATAGGGGCACCTGGGTGACTCAGTGGCTTCGGCTCAGGTCATGATCTCATGGTTCTTGAATTTGAACAAACCCTTATCTAGCTCAGTGCTGACAGCTCAGAGCCTGGAGCCCACTTCAGATTCTGTGTCTCCCTCTCTCTCTGCCCCTCCCCTGCTTGTTTGGATACTCTTCTAGTTCTTTTTTTAAAAATATTTATTTTTAAGAGAGAGAGAGAGACAGTGTCAGCAGGGGAGGGGCAGAGAGAGAGGGAGACATAGAATTTGAGGCAGGCTCCAGGCTCTGAGCTATTGCACAGAGCCTGACACAGGGCTCAAACCCACAAACCACAAGGTCATGACCTGAGCTGAAGTTGGACACTTAACAGACTGAACCACCCAGGTGCCCTGATACTATTCTAGTTCTTAAAGCAACATTAGTGTTACAGGAATTTCATCCATTAGTGTATTTTTACATTATATAATGTTACAGCTATTCTCTGTGACGCTATTTCATAATAAAAGGCTTTCTGGGGCACCTGGCCTGAGTCAGTTGAGAGTACGACTTCGGGTCACATTATGATCTCATGGTTTGTGGGTTTGAGCCCACATCAGGCTTTGCACTGACAGTGCTGAGCCTGCTTCAGATTCTCTGTCTCCCTTTCTCTCTGTCCCTCCCCTGCTAGCGTTCTCTCTGTCTCTCTCTCTCTCTCTCTCTCAAAAATTAACATTGTTTTAAAAAAGTCTGTCTCAGCTAGCTCAGAGCCTGCAGCCTGCTTCTGATTCTGTGTGTGTGTCTCTCTCTCTGACCCTCCCCTGCTCACGCTGTCTGTCTTTCTCAAAAATAAATAAATAAATAAAACAAAAAAACATTTTTTTAAGTCTTTCTCATATTATGTAGCCATCAAAATGATATTTTTGGAAGATTTTGAAATATCATGAAATTACCAAGATCTCCATATAGGCTTTTGTATGCATAGCATATCTCTGGGAGGATATACAAAAATGTGGTAACAGTAGTTGTAATAGAAACTTAACCTGGAAAGGCTCCATTTGCCCCTCCAAGCTGCTCTGTATCTCAGACTCTTTAAAGACTAAACCAGCTGGTTCTCTTGCTCTATAACTTCCAAGTGAGTTCAGCCAACTGGGGGCGCGAGGGAGAAAGGTGAGATTTAGGTATTTCTTCTCCCATTTCCCCCACTGCCTGGGGGGTTAGGATTGTCTATGTATTCCTTAAGAAAGGCCACAGCACCTGTTGCCTTATCCTGTGTATTAATCAGGATTTTCCAGTGTGTGTGTGTGTGTGAGAGAGAGAGACAGAGAGAGAGAGGAAGAGACCAAGTGAGAGAAGAGAGAGAGAGAGCACTTTATTATAAGGAATTGGCTCATACGATTATGGAGGCTAAGTCCTACGATTTGCGGGATGAGTCAGCAAGCTGGAGAAGGTGGAGGCCCAGGAAAGGTATTGTTCTAGCCTGAGTGTGAAGACCTGAGATCCAGGAGAGCCGATGAGGTAAGTTCCAGTACAAAAGCCAGTAGGCTCATGACCCAAGAAGAGCCACTGTTCTAGTTTGAATTTGAGGCCAGGAAACACTGTTGTTACTTCACTGTAACTTCTTTCCCTTAACCCATACTATTGTAAAGAGTCCTTTATGGAACCATTCTTCAATTATCCTATTTGCGTATATCATCTGTTTACTGCTCAGCCCCTGACTGATATTCTCATTTTTAAATATTAGCAGCTACACTTAAAATTCCTAACACTTAATAAATTTTGTGAGCTTACTGGTAAAGAGCCTTTTCTTTCTTTTTAACGTTTATTTATTTTTGAGAGAGAGTATAAACAGAGGAGGTGCAGAGAGAGGGGGACACAGGGCTCGAGCTCATGAACTGTGCGGTCATGACCTGAGCTCAAGTCAGACGCACAACCGACTGAGCCACCCAGGCGCCCCAAGAGCCTTTTCAAACACAATGCAATCATAAGCCAGCTGAGTGATTCAGAAGGCCTTTGATGCAGTCTCTCTCTCCGCCTGCCCTTCCAGTCTGAATTTTCAAGGGCAAAGTGATCAGAGGAAACCTCAAATGCTAATACCTCAGCAGCACTTACTGTCCGTCATATCTGGCCTGGGATCTTTGAACTACGGTTTGGCCCCATATGTCCTCCAGGACACAGCTGGCCACAGACAGGCAGTTCAACACCACATTTAAAATTCAAAATGTGAAACATAGAATAATGAAGCCATCTGGTCCATATTACGTTGTCCAACAATTATAAGTAATGTGAGCTATAAATACAACAAGCAAAAGGAAGCAAACAAGAGACCATTAATCAATACAATTTGTACAAGATATGATGACTGAAAGTTCTTATTCAGGAGAATCTTTACAAAGGGTGGACTAAAGCAGGTCTAGATTGAAAAATATTACGTGCCAATGCCCTTCAGTCGTAAATCTTCACTGAAGTAATAAAAATCTACATGGGAATTTCACAGAGAGGACCCTGACATTGATATTCAGTAACTCACAGAGTTATATATGAAAAGGCAACAGGACCAATCTTGGTTGCATCACAAGGACACCTTAGTGGAGAGGACTCTAGGAAACTCGTAACACTCAGCAGCAGCCCCACTTACAAAACCTGTAGGAGCTTGAGTGGTAACAAACAACCAGAATGGTTCGGTTCTGAATCTATATAGCCAACAGTCTTACCATCTCTCTGACTATCCCATAGTCACCTTGCTGGAGACCCGCTCCAGCCGGTCCAGGGGTCCCTGAAGGATGGACGGTGTCAGCGAGAGAGAGCGAGCCCCGAGGTTCTTTCTCGTCACCAGGCAGGCCTCTCTGTACTGTCAGTTTTGGTGTCTTTATTTATAGGTCAAATAATAACATGAGATCTGAAAAAGGACTTTTTACAATGGAAAACTCTTTGTGATAAGTTGCTTTGAAAAGTGTACAAAAATAGGGGCGCCTGGGTGGCTTCGTTGGTTAAGCGTCTGACTTGGGCTCAGGTCATGATCTCACGGTTCGTGGGTTCGAGCCCCACGTAGGGCTCTGTGCTGACAGCTCAGAGCCTGGAGCCTGTTTCAGATTCTGTGTCTCCCTCTCTGTCTGTCCCTCCCCCGTTCATGCTCTGTTTCTCTCTGTCTCAATAATAAATAAACATTTTTAAAAAATGTTTTAAAAGAAAAGTGTACAAAAACAGGTTTTTTGGAAGTATTCTTGCAGAATTACCCCAATCATAGTGAGGTTGAGTAAATCTTACAACTAAGGAAATAACAGGATGTTCTTAGTGAAAAACAGGATGACATACATATTTGTTCTAAGTTAATAACGCTAGATTAGGACATAGGTTAAGTGCATAGATCGGCTAGGAGTCATTCTGTCTGGCTCACAAGAGGACCAATGTTTTTTAGCTGGTTAATAAGTTGTTTGTGGAAACCTCTTTGACTTGATGCTGAATGTGTAAACACCATGGAGGCCCCAAATGTGTCGGCCTTTGTTTTTGGGTTATGTTTTAGCTACTCTTATCTATCCTCATCACAGCCACCAGTGTAAGGGAGGGTGTTTGTGGAAAGTAGGCCTCAGGGAAGGGACTGCCATATGTCACCAGTTAGAAAAGGTGTATAAGTTCTGCCCTTACCTGTTCCTTAACTCTAAATTAGGCTCTTTGTCTCCGGGCCAGGCTTAATTGTAACTCTTGTGTTCTTAACCCCTTTTATTATCTAAGTCTTGGGTCTACAAGGCCCATAGGAAGAGCCTTTTGACAACCATCCACAGAGCTCTCATCTAAAATCTCTTTCGAAGAGGCAGGATTATGCCTTTCCTTATGAGGTATCTGTGTGGGGACTTTCGGTCTGATCTGGAATATTGTGAGGCCTGGTCAATACCAGCAGGCTCATTTCCAACATGAGCCAGTAGTAGCAGAAGGAGATACCAGTTTTGCTTCTCATG